ACATCATATTTGAATAACATTCATTCTAAATGAACTTCACAATCAGTTCACATAACACAACTATAATTACTAACTACTTTATTACGAATACCATACAACCTGCTGACGAGTGCCAAGTATCACGGAACCCGGATCCAGGATTTCCTGTCGACTACCTCCAACCACCATCTAATCTCAATATATAGTGTCCGCAATGTCGAGTCACCTGGACTGGTGGCCACATTGCAACATGGTCGGTAGCATTCGATCTGCACTAATAAGGACTAGACACGCATGACACTGATCACCACCCAGTGATCAATCAATTGTGATACCATACAGATATTATAGTTTTGTTCTGATTAATCGCTAATCATTTTTAATTCATCTAACTTATACAAAATACCAAATAGTTAATTCCATTTAAAATGTCAAAACTTTTTTGTTTGTTTTGTTTTACTGACTGAAGAGAAATTGAATTTCACTATGAAATAAAGAAAATAGAAAACATTTTAATTCTTTATTAGTCTGTAACTATGTATAATAATAGACAATAGAAATTACAAGTTATATGTATATATATCGTGAATACATACTGTTGAGGAGTCCTGTACAAGGACGAAACAACCGTGCATTATATCTCGATGACTATTGTCAACTGTATAATACTTTCAAATTTCCTAGGGTAGTTTAATTTAAATCAATTCATGAATTCAATCAATAAAATTACTATATAGTTTCCATAATCCCTTCTTCTGATAAAGAAAAACATTTTTTTTTGTTTCTTAATTCATAAGAAAACTTCTCTTCATATATATATAATCCTCTTTCAAAGCACATTCAATCGTTGTGAATAAAAAGTACCCGTAAATCGAAATACTTAAATGAAAATTTGAAGGAAGGAAGAAAGAAAGAAAGAAAGAAGAAGAAGAAGAAGAAGAAGAAGAAGAAAAATACACACACATACACATACATCCATATATTCCAGACAAATAATGAATAGTTTAATTGGTCTAATGAATTCAATATGTATTAGTTACTAGACTTCATTTTTCTCTTTTCTTTTTTCTTTTTTTGTTTTTTGTTTGGATCCATGATTAAAAGATTGATTATTCATTTTGAGAAGAAAGTAGGATTTAGAATAATTTTGTTTGTTAAGATTTTAGTTAGATGGTAGAAAAAACTACTTGATGTAATAAGTATGAAATATAGTTTATTCAATGAATATTTGAACTGAGAAACTATTAGTGTGGTGAATCTATTAAAGAAAGATTATAGAACTATTAGATATCATGCATTATATATGATGATTATGGTTTAGTAGGAGTTAGACATTAACACCGTTGGATGCCGGCCAGTTCAATGGTTCAGAGGTTAAGCGTATGCTCGCGAGACTGGGGAGTTCTGTGTTGGAATCTTGTGAGGCAGGATCGTGGATGCGTACTGCTGAGAAGTCTGCCAATAATACGAAACGGTCGTCTAAGGTTTCCAGGTTTTCAATGGAGGTCTATCTTAAATTGACTCATAATCTCAACTATAAATATTACTATAATATCCACAAAACCATTTCTGATACAACTATTTTTGTCTAGTTGCGAAGTATTCAGAAGATCTTGTAGTGAACAAGATCACAAGTGGGACGATCGCATGTATTTAAATACAAAATTACAGTAAAAAATCTCAGTAAAATCTGAGAATTATACAGTAAATACTTCATTTACAAGATGTCAATCAATCATCTCAGACTTTATTGTTCTTTCGTATCCACACCAATCATTCTTTGTTATCATTCTCTTTCTTCGATCCTCTCAACTTTCTGCCTCCAGGCATTTCACTTTCGATTGACGATATATATTACTTATATCTATCGACGTCAGTAGCACACACCCTAACCTCATTACATTATATGGTAAAATGGTTATTTCATAGTGCTGAAGTTTCTCGCCAACGAAACAAACGTCCTTATAATTCTGTCTCATTTTTAATTATTCATTAACTGATTTCTATGTAATTACTTTCATACCGAATAGTCAGTTCAATGTAACGTTATAAGTTATATATTTAAAGGACATGGGTGATAAAGTCAGTCAAATCTAGAGATGGGCGTTTGAATTTTCTTATGAACATAAATACATTTATATTTGTGTAAGTATGAATGGCCCACAAATATACCAGATGAAATCTAAAAGACATCTGAATGAACAAAGTTTGATGATATAATTAACGATAAAATGAATGTAGTATAAACTGTATATCCTGTCTAGTATTATTCAAACAACTGACAGAAAACATTAATGAGCTCTTCAATGACTATTTATGGATATAAATAGCCATCTATTGAATGGCAACAATGAAATCGTTATGAGTTTTTAAACTCAAGTTTCAACTTGATAGCATACATATACATGAGAAAGTTGTATCATAATGTGCACTACTATTTAATGATTAAAAGTGTGTTGTATTGATTGGTAGTCATGAGGAAATTTCAGATTACATTATGATTATTTTCAAGGATCTTAAAGATCCTTGAATAACTTGTACATCTTGTTCAAGATAATACTCAGTATCATGATATAGTGATAAGTCTTAACACTATTAATAAACTCAGTTTCATTATTTTTGTCTTTTGGGATTCATTCATACTTCAGCAAGTATCAAGCTCTTGATTTTGATCCAAAGTGGGAAGGTTATAGCAACTCACGTGCAATTGAGCTTGTTCTCATTTAACTCGGTTAAGCCCTTTTGTTAACTTATTTAGCGGACAAAGTCATTCGTACTATAACAACTTATTGTACCTTTATTAATGTTGTGCTTGTATGAAATATGTATGCTTGAACATTGTTTACCGCTTACGCATATATTCATTCTGTTAGCTTTATTATTAGTTGTTTAATTGATTCAATGATCCATTTATTTCCTTATATATATATACATGTACATTTACACTCTACACACTCTCGGTTCGCTGACTCACTCACTCGCCTCACCGCTTTTTGGTCTGAGTTATCTGCTAATAAAATTGTAGTCACTGCTTCTGTTTGCCTTCTGATTTCAAACACCGTTGATGATTATGTGATAACGGTTACGAGGGTTATTGTTCAACGAAGCTCAGCTACTACAATGTCATGATTATTTACTAGAAGGAATAGGGATCTAAGTTCTTCTAACTCAAATCATCTAACTCGAATCATTTCATGAATTTGATAAACTTCAACAATCTTCACTATACCCTATTGTTAATTCCATTTTAAGTAAGAGTAAATTTTCAATGTGATTATGATATTACATAACTGATCAATTAACTGAATTTACAAAATATTAAAATCATATGATCTAAGTTCATTTTATATACTGTTTCAACAAAATTATTATATTTTGATAGAGTTTTGTTCTCCGATTTGGATGATTTGGTTGTGAAGCTTTCATCGCTCTCCTAAACGACATCATCAGCACAAACTTCATATAGAAATCAAAACTTCATCAAAATCATTCATCTGAGCTACAAATCTTGTCCACCATCTCAAAATTATTAAATTCCTTGATTCAATTGATTTCTGAATTGAAATCTTAATTATAATGCAAATATTTTATTTACAATAAACCTATATTTAGTATATTTAATTATATACTACTTAAAACATTCTAAATATTCATTAATTTATTTAATTTAATACATTTATTCATTATATTAAATCTACTTTGACTTATTCAATGAAATTAAAATGAACAATGAATAGGTAAAAGCTAAATTCATAACTAACGTAGTATATACATTATGTTTCTTACAATTGAAGAATATATGGAAGTCAAAACAACTATCTGTCAACCAATATCAAAGTCACAATCTTCAATACAAATGTCAAGACAGTTGGACTGTAAGAAGCTGAAATGTGGAGAACTACTACAACTATCATCAAACATGTACAAGTATTTATAAATAATTGTCTACGCAAAATACTCAACATCCATTGACCGGATACCATCAGCAATAACCTGCTATGTGAGAGAACAAACCAGCTACCACCTGAAGAGGAAATTAAGAAAAGACGATAGAAATGGATAATTCATACATTTCAGAAATCATCAAACTACATCACGAGACAGGCGTTAACTTGGAATGCTGAAGGGAAACGGAAATGTGGAAGGCTGAAGAACACATTACGTCGGGAAATAGAATTAGATATGAAAAGGATGAATAAGAACTGGAAAGGATAGAGTTGAGTGTAAAATGTTGGCAAGCGGCCTACTCTTCTCTACGAGAAGTAACAGGCTTAAAGGAAGTAAGTAATTATGTATTAAACATTTGATTATCTTTCAAGTTCAGTAATCACTATTATCAACTATTATAGAAACAGTTATCAGTTTTTCTCCAGTTTTCAGTTAATGATATACATGTTATTTTTTTGTCACTATCTAACAACAAACCTGGTTTAACTCCAGTGGTCACGGCTTCTCATTAAAACTCCAGGAAACACCCCTTAGAGACGATTACTAGTCAGCAAAGGATGTATATAATCATAAAGGGATGTTGTGAATATTATAATAATTTAATAGTTGAATTCATGAGTCAGTTGAAGCTAGACCACCATGGAAAACCTGGGAACTGGCTTAACGGTTTAGTGGTTAAGCGCTCGCATGTGAGAATGACAGGTCCTGGGTTCGAACCTCTCGATTCAGGATCGTGGATGCGCATTGCTGAGAAGTCTCCCAATAGAACGAAGCGGTCGTCCAGTGTTACCAGCTTTTCTATGGTAGTCTAGCTTCAATTGACTTATGAATTAAACTCTTACAATTACTATAATATTCACAAAATCCATTTCGAATTAACAAATTCGTACAAGTGAAAAAAATGTTTGTTCATTATCACTTAAGCACACACTGTTAAAAACAAGTTCACCCATCACCAATTTCTACCCTAAAATTTTCTCATCAATGAATGATAGGGGATCATAATCACCGTGCAATTCATGTTAACCTTATTTTACAAAAGAGAAATTTAAAAAAGAACATCAGAAGACATAAGTTTTCATAAAGTAATATTTTTCTTCTCTTCATTCAATTACATGAAACATTGACGAAATCATGAAAAGAAAAAAAGATTCTGTATTCAATTAAGTAATTTGAAACATTATTTGATTATGTAATATAACCATAGTGTAATCTGTTATCTGATGTAATAGTGTATCAATGTCTGAAAGAATAATTTTCTTTTTGAGTGGCAGTGGGGTGGGGGTTCATTCACTGTTCCATGTTTTATTCTAATCACTTCATATTTTGATATTTACATCGGATCATAATCAGTATTTCCTATTAATTGATGAATATGATAATGATCATATAAAGATCATCATAGTTTTATATCTTCCATATTGATTAAGTGACTGTATCGAATAAACTTAAATTTGCTATAAAATCAGGATCCTAGAAAAATTATTAAAAAAAAAACATTAAAAAAACAAACAGAAACTACAGACTTACTTGTGTAGAAACACTAAAAAATTCATCTTTTGATATTTTACCATCATGATCAAGATCATATTTCTGTAAAAACCAAAAAAAATGTAAAAAATATGATAGTTGTTATGGCAACAAAATCGTTCATTATCATATATCTCTTCATGTACTTAGTTACTTCGCAATTGTCATAAACAGATTTAAAGTAATATGATTGTTTAGACAATTAAATAGTTATATTTTGAATTATAATATTTGTAATTTATTGGATTGTATCAAATCGCTTAACCCTTACGATGTAAACTTTCTTCAGTTTTGAAGATTTATTGATATCTCTTCCTACCCAAATTATCTGATATAACATTTTGGTATGGTTCTTAATATAGTAAAATTTTATTTTTAATTGTGAAATAATTTAATAGTTGGATTCATAAGTCGGTTTAAGTTAGATCACTCTCAAGAAACCTAGAAGCACAGAACGATCGTTCTATCCAGAAGTGAGTATGCTAAAGGATGAAGGTCCTGGGTTCGAACCCTGCGAGTGGGATTGCGGATGCACACTGTTGAGGAGTCCCACAATAGGATGAGACGGACGTCTAATACTTCTAGGCTTTGAATAGTAGTCTAACATCAATTGGTTCATGATCTCAATCAATAACTTAATAATCTTTACAAGTCTATACTGATAATTTCTTAATTATGTTGATGAACTTTTTTTAATTTTCTGTCATATAAATTTGGTGCGTTTCCAATAGCGATAAGGTATTGAAAAATATTACAACTTTTGTTTAGCATAAACATCATAACAAGTACTTGAAAGTTTAAATTCACTTGGTATTGTTTACTTGTATCTTCCTATTGTTGTTTCAATCTGCAATTGTTCAGTGTCTTGTTAGCATATATGCATCTTAAGTGGACTGTTTCAATATTACCTTAAATCACAAGTTTTATCCAAACTCAGTAATTAAGTGGATAACGTGAATTGAACAGTATTGAGTTCGAGTCCCAAAGTGAACTTCCATCCAATGATGCAAATATATTCAGCTGACAAGTCCCGAATAGGACGAAACGTGCATTCTATATTCCACTACTAACCACTATTCACTATTGCTTATAAAACTTGAACGTTTGTTAATCTTCATACTGATTAACTAAATATTAAAAAGTAGTATAACATCTAGTATCTTGTTTGAATACATTTTTTTATTTCATAAAATGTTTCTGTGGATTCTATTCTATTTTTTTATTTATTTTATCAGATCAGAAAATAAACTTTTCCATTGTTTAAAAAATATCATCAGAAGCGGTTTTGTGGAGATTTTACAAATTTCACTGGTTGAAATCATGAGTCAATTGAAGCTAGACCTCCACGAAATGCTGCTTGACGTCAGTCACTAGTCAGAAGATGATTATTATCGGAAAGGCTTTTGTGGAGATTTTAGTATTTTCAATAGTTGTGAAATATCAGCTCACTGAAGATAATGGTGTACGATGGCGCAACTACGTGGATTGATTGAAGTTAGACATTAATGCCGTTGGATGCCCGCCAAATCAAAGGTCTAGTGGTTAAGAACTTGCGCGCGAAACCAGTAGATCCTGGGTTCGAATCTAGCAGAGGGCAGAGTTGTGCATGCGCACTGCTGAGGAACCCCGTTCTAGAACGAAACGGCCCTCCAGTGCTTCCAGGTTTTCTATGGTGGTCTAGCTTCAATTGAATCATGATTTCAACCAGTAAAAAATATCAGTTAAGTAGTAGTTTTTCTCCTCCGAAACATACAGTCTACAATGTTTTTAAAACTCTTTGAATTCCCCAAATCAATTTTCATTTGAAATCTTAGTTTATTCTCAATGTTAATTGTTTTGTTTAGAATTCAATACTGTTGTCTTTATAAAAAATTAATGTATTTACTAGTTGAATTCATGAGTCAATTGAAGCCAGACCATCATAAAAAATATGGAAGCATTGAACGGCCGTTTCATTTTAGTCTGAGACTAGTCAGCAGTGCGCATTCGCGAAACCGCGTTGCGAGATTTGAACCTACGACCTATCGGTCTCGCACGCAAGCGCTTAACTTCTCTACTACTGAGTTGGTCGGTATCCAGCGGTGTTAATGTATAACTTTAACCAACCCATGAAATCGCGCAACTATCGCGAGACCGATAGGTCTCGGAATCGAATCTCACGGGGCGGGATCGTGGATAGGCACTGCTGAGAAGTCCAATACTAGAATAAAAAGGCCGTGCAGTGCTCCAAAGTTTTTCACAGTAGTCCAGTTTTAATTGATTCATGAATGCAAATATTAAATTATTCTAATCTCCACAAAACTCCTCTCTAATTAATTTGTTTTTTAAGGAACTAATAAAAATAATTCCCCTGAATAACTCAAACCAATAGCTTAATATTATAGCCAATTGTTTCAGTACTAGCTTCTATTCTTGAAGAATAGATAGATGTATACAAACATTTTTAAATTTGAATAAAGAACAGTTGTTCAGTATTGCTTTATATACATACATTCAATGTCTTTCTATCGAAAAACAAGATATAGATTACATAAAGAAATCAGTACATTGATTGATATACTTCTTTTAATTGAACAATTATTAACTTACATTAAACATTATATTAACTCTATCTTCAATAGCTTGTACAATGTTACCAGTGAGTAGTTTATCACCAAGTAAATCATAAATAGCTTGTATAACTTCTTTCAATTCTGATCTACTTATATAACCATCTCCATTAATATCATATAAAGTAAATATCCATTTAATTTTATCTAAATTTGAACCTTTTGCTAATTGTGATAAACCACAGGCAAATTGCTGGATATAAAGTAGAATAGAGTAAAAAGAAAGATCTATAATCAGTTATTTATATGTATATAAACTAATAACAAACATGAATTGATAAAAATCTATAATAAATATTAGTTATCAGTTTAGGGGTTGTAAAGATTGTTAAGTTTTTGATTGAGATCATGAACCGATTGATGTTAGACCACAATGGAAAACCTGGAAGCACCATTACCATGCGCATACTAGTGACTAGCTTTGCGAGAAAATTCTCGGAGTTCTGGTGAGAAGCCGTGACCAGTGTAGCTAATCCGTGTCGGATAGAAACAGGTGTCTATCTCAGTACAATGGAAGATGGTCGCGCAATTTCGTGGATTGGTTGAGGTTAAACATTAACACCATTGGATGCCGGCTCAGTGGTCCAGTAGGTTAAGGGCTCGCGCGCGAAACTTAAGACCCTGGGTTCGAATCCCGCGGACAGGATCAAGGATGCGCACTGCTGATGAGTCCCACGATAGGACGAAACGGCCGTTCAGTGCTTGCAGGTTTTCAATGGTGGTCTAATATCAATCGGCTCATGATATCAAATAAATATTAGTGTTAAAATTAAGTGATCAACATTAATCGAATTCAACTGTAAATAATCATGATAATGTCATAATAGTTAATATAGGTAATTGTAAAATTTGTTTCATCTTATCTAAATTACTTTGTTTTTAGCATATTTAAAAGGTAGAATGTATAGAAAGCAAGGACCGCATTACTACAGTTGAAGAACATATGGAAGTCAAAACAATTGTCTGTCAACCAATATCAAAGTCACAATCTTCAATACAAATGTCAAGACAGTTCGACTGTAAGGAACTGAAATGTGGAGAACAACTACAACTATCATCAAACATGTACAAGTACTTATAAACAGTTGTCTACACAAGAGACTCAATATCCGTTGATCGGGTACCATCAGCAAAAATCTACTGTTGGAAAGAACAAACCAATTTCCAATTGAAGAAGATATTAGGAAAAGACGATGGAGTTGAATGAGACATACAATACGGAAATCACCGAACTTCATCCCGAGCTAAGCATCAACTTGAAATCATGAAGAAAAATGGAAAAGTGGAAGGCCAACTTACACACTGTGTCGGTAATCGGAATCAAACATGAAAAGGATGAATAGCAACTGGAAACAAGTGGAAAGAATTGTTCAGGTTAGGTTTGGATGAAGAATGCTGGTGGTTGATCTATGCTCCTCGATGAGGAGTAACAGGCGTAAGTACTTAATATCTAATATAAGGCTAAATTTTCAAGACTAGTGATCAATCTAACTGACATAATACAAACAGTACCTAATACTAAACAAATATAAACATGGTTATGTAATAATCCTTCAGTATTAAAATAATGGATATAATTTAAAAATAATAAATACTGCAATAGCTATTATTATTATTATTTATATTATTATTATCATTATTATTAAAGGCTTTATTCAATGTTATATTTTTGGAACAAAAAGTATCTCAACAAGTCTCCTTTTCTTATTTATTCATCGATCCTGATGATAAATATATAATGATCACCAGGTAGATGTTAGCAGTTCAGGGATCGACATCTGGATAATATTCATTCTTTTCAATGAATTTTATCAGCCATCACGATATCTTTGCTCGTAATGTTTTCTCAGGGAAGTCCTACTGATTGCCTTCTCGCGGTGATAGTGTGCTGTTTACGAAACTTAGAAGATGAAAGCAAATGTCCAGCGCTTTAACCGGGTTGACAGATACGGAGGATCCACCTAAGGAAATTAGAAAACACTGATTTCAAACCGATGGTGCACATGGGATCTAGGATCCTGTAGGAACAAGGGGAGTATGAACCATTTTTTAGTCACTGGTTACCATGAAACTACATCACCCTACTTTGCTTCACTGCTTCATAGATTAGACCTTTAGGATAGGCTTGGGATGTGACACCTTAAGAAAACCACCTGCTTCTGTCTAGGTACACGGGCAGTGACACAGCTTATACGCAATTCAAGTAACTAGTATAGCGCATATGTATTCAGTGGTCATTTGTACCAATATTTATGTGTTAAAATCAATAAATCAATAGATAATTTTTGGTAACCTGTACAGTGAAAGGTTTTAAACGATTCATAAACGCGCCTAAATAGGTTATGCATTTAATAGACACAAAATTGCGTTAAAACAAATACATAACTAATATATATATATATATATATATATATATATATATATATATATATATATATATATATATATATATATATATATATATATATATATATATATATATATATTTATATCTAAACTTGATAAGGTTACTTCATGTCATAAACAGGAAAACATTATGTTGGAGTTTTGTTCTCTGAGCTGTATGGTTTTGTCGTGGAGCTTTCATCGTTCTTCTGAACGACATCATCAGCACAAACTTCTATCTGAAGTTCAGAAGAACGATGAAAGCTCCACGACCAAACCATCCATCTCAGAGAACAAAACTCCATCAAAATCATCCACCTGAGCTATAAATCTTCCGCAACATCTCACAGGAAAACATTAAATTACAAATAAACAATACATATCAAAATGGATTTATTTATTGATATCTAATTTACTTTAAGTATTGCTAAGCTGTTTTTCGGTAAACTAATTAAATAAGATTTAATTAAGAAAATAAATGTTTCTTTACATAGTAACAAATTTACTAATAATCACTTCGATACTAACTAGTTACTGATTTATAAAAAATCAAAGTGATTTACTTATCATCTAACTTAGTATTTCATACCATTCATTATTTACTTCGTTATGATTCAATTTTCCTTTTTTTCTTTATTAACTAGAAATGTTCAAACGTGATCAATTCATTAGATGCATATTGTTAAAATCACGTATACATTCTTGTTTTACTTTACTAGCTTTTCTTGAATGTTAAAACATCACTTACTTATTTACTTGCTTACTTACTTACTCCCAATGGGACATAGGCTACCGACCAATATTCTCCAACTCACTCTGTCCTGGAACTCCCTTTCTAGTTCTATCAAATCATTGTTCATTCTTCTCATGTCTATTTCCATTTCTCGACGTAATGTGTTCTCTTGTCCTCCTTTTTTTCTTTGGCCTTGAGGATTCCAATTGAGAGCTTGCCTTGTGACGCAGTTGAATGCTTTCCTCAATATGTGTACTATCCATTTCCACCACTTCTTCCTCATTTCTTCCTCCATGGTAATCTGGTTTGTTCTCTCCTACAGTAGGTTGTTGCTGATAGTGTCTGGCCAATGGATCTGAAGTATTTTACGTAGACAAATGTTAATTAACACTTTTATCTTCTAGACGATGGCTTCCGTAGTTCTCCAAGTTTCCGCTTCATATAGTATAAATGTCTTGACATTTGTATTGAAAATTGTGAATTTGGTGTTGGTTGACTGACAGTTGTTTTGAGTTATAGATGTTCTTCACTTGTAGATATGTTCTTCTTGCTTTACTAATCCGCGCCTTCACATCTGCATCAGATTCACGGTGTTCATCAATGATATTAATAAATTAATGTCTGCTGATTTTCAAAGGTTTTAATGAAGCTTTGTTCTTTGAGCTGGATAGTTTTGTTGTGGATCTTTTGTTGTTCTTCTGAACAACACAAACGTCAGGTAGAAATATCAAACATTACCAAGAGAAAATTGGATTTACTTCAAGTTCATTCACTAAGATTTTACAAATACATTCTTCCGTTTACATGTCGTACATCTACTCAACGTCCAAATACTGTGAAACTACTCGATTAAATTTAGATGAATGTCCTCATTAGAAATATCAAAGGTTGAAATATTCCTAACTATAATTATGTAGATAATATAAGTTATTCAAATAAATCAATGTAAGACTACCAAATGAGAAATTAGGTGATCAAAACGACTTAAAATAATTCGAATATTTTTTAAAAATTAAATCACTAACTAACCTCAAATGTTAATTGTCCTGTTTGACATTGATCAAAAACTCGAAAGCATAATTGAGCATAAGAACTAGATGCTAAAATCAAAGAAAGAATATATATATCAATATCACCAGTAGACTCTATAAAAGTTAATATGAATTTTCATAGTTCTTTCATTCATTACTGAATACTGATGTATTAGAGATATATGCTACTTATTCTGATAAATATAAGTAGAATTGTGGTGTGTACTACTGGTGTCGACAGATATAAGTAGTATATATCATCAATCGAGAGTGAAATGTCTGGTAGTAGAAAGTTAAGAAGACCAGAAAAAAGGGAAAGAGAATAAAGAATAAGTAGTATGTGCTCACAATCGGAAGTGCAGTGCCTGCAAACAAAATATTGATTTAAAGAGAATAGGAAGGGATACAGGTAGCAGTCGAAATGACAACAAAATCAGAAGAATGATGGAGTAATTGAAGAGCAAATGGAGAAAGATATGCAAATAATATATTTAATATATGTTTTTTTTATATTTTATCAAACCAATGTGTATTTCGCACGAAACTATAGATTAGTTTTCCCTATCTGAGTTCTCATTCACTATATATTTACACTTGTGAGCAAATATTCTTATTTTCTTACAGCTACAAGCTTCCTTTTTCTAATGAAATTTGGTAGACTTAGAAGTTTTCTTAATTTTGAAGTGTTTACGCTTTGTTTAGCAGTTGGAACTACTCAAGAGGTAACTCGAAACCTAAGTTTCGTGGTACTTGTTGATCATCAGCGGAACGTGCCTGAATCAGCTGAAAAGCGTTTGCTACCTGTTGATTTCTGAATTCACATCATTCAACTTTACAATCTGAGACCCTATCACTTTCATTGTAACTGAAAAGTAATAATAATTCGATCTATTTATTTGAAATATTTGCATAATAAACAATTTTGCCAATCGAGTTTACTACCATGGTAAATCAAAGAAACTTTCGTAACCTAACTGTTTGTGTGAATAAAGATTTAATGAAGTATCCTGTTCAGCAAATGTTTCATAAGCCTTTCAAGAACATTATTACCTGATATCTTTAGTATATCGTTTTGCGATCAACGCAAAAATGAATCACTCGAATATCGGATGGATCATCGTAGTGTAACCTCAAAAACTATAGTGACTTAACACTAGTTGGCTTAAAATATTCATTTTACTTGTGGCAATGGACAGATATTGAAATATAACAAACTCCTTGATTTCTTAGTAACGAGAATTATTTACATTGAATTCATGAACTGATCAATTTTACATCACTATTTAAAACCTGAAAGCGCTAGATGGCCGATTCGTTCTGGTATGGGACTCCTCAGCAGTATCCATCCATGATCCTGCTCGCAGGATTCGAACACTTAACCACTAGACTACTGACCCGGCATCTAACGGTGTTAATATGCTAAATCCAATCAATCGTACAACTAGCATCCATGATTTCAATGAAATTTAACCATATCCATAACCTCAAAATGAAAAATTACTTCAATTTCTACTATTGTTAAATCAAAATATATCGGTTTCAATGTTTATCATCCCATTGGTTCATGTTGAGTTTGCACAATATATGGAGCGATCACCTGATTTTTCAGTATTTTTTTGTGCCAGTAATTTTTGTTCGTATACAATGGAATTCTTACAGTCTCTCATTTGTATGCCTTTACCCGTCATTATTTTAAAAGAACATCACGATGTTTTGCAACCACAGAGGTCTTAGAATAGATCACTCATGATTGATCAACTGTTTTTTTAAATTCAGTTTCCCTGATCACAATATACCATATCTAATACTAGTAAGGTAAACATTTTTTTCCAGATTGAGACAAAGAAACTTCACCCGTAAAATAACTTTGAAATTGAAATAAAAACTTGTTTTACATGAGGTTCAACTAACTTATTAAATGATTAAAACTGTAATGTACGCTACTTATATCTGTCAACAGACATAAGTAGTATGTAACATCAATTAAAAGTTAAATGACTAGTAGAACAAGGCTAAGAAGTTCGAATGGAAGAAAACAGAATGAGAAATAAAAAAGAATTGTCAACTGAAACAATTAGACAGAATGTAAAGGATGATTGATGGAAGATTTACAAATGAAGCATTTATTGTATAATTTCCACATTTTATGGTTAGCGTTTTTTCAGTGAGTTAGTTTTCCATGGGATTTCTTCATTAACCCATGCCCAACCCTCCTTCTTTATCCGAGCTAGAAACCGACAGTAGCCCCAGAGGAGCTTCAGGCGGAAGAAACGCTGGAAATGGATAGGACATACATTGAGGGAAGCATCCAACTCTATCGTAAGGCATGTTACCTCATGGAATCCTCAAGGTCAAAGAAGAAGAAGAAGACCAAGAAATACATTACGCCAAAGAAATCGAGATAAACATAAGAAAAATGAACAACAACTGGATAGAATTAGAAAGGAAAGTTCAAGACAGAGTGAGTTGGAGAATGTTGGTCGATGGCCTATTCTCCATTGAGATTAACAGATCTAAGTAAATAAGTTCCACATTTCATGAAGATATTCTGTAGTTTTGTACCAAATAGTAAATTCATTATCCCCAACTATGTTCTCATTCACCATAAAACTAGTATATATATGTAATATATAGTATGATTATGTTCAAACATATAAAATAGGTTATTATGACATTGAAATGTACATACTGTTAACTGTCATTTTGTACAAACTTAAGTTTTTTTTAAAAAAGTTTTCAAACAGTTCGAAATAGGACGTGTCAATAGCTTTTTTAAACAAGTTTTTCTAGAAGTTTTATGAAGGTTTAAATTAGATTTAAAAGAGAAAAACAAAAAGACAAAGTACATGGTAGTTTATAAAGTTATTTTAAATATCACTATATATGAAAATAATTTTTAGAGAGACTCGAATTTATGAACGAGCCAATCAGAAGCGTTTAAGGGATTACAAAGTGGTTATAGAACCAACTCCAGTACTTGATGCTAATGTACAATCGGTTCATAGAGGATTTTATACAAAACGTGATCATTGAAAAGTTATAATAAATAAAACGGCCAGACTATAATTTGTGGACGAAGCAATCAGAGATAAGATAACAGATCTCGGATTTTAACGCGAAAGCCTTTCATCCATTTGGCTAAATAAAGTATAGCTGATATCAGTTCGTGGGGAAAACCGTATATATGATTCATAATTAAAGCAAATTATGACAATTATTACGAAATGGATAATAAAAATCATCAGTAACACTAGCTGCAGCCAGGTACTACAATATATACGGATGATTGGAGAGCGTACATATCCCTACATAGGTTTGGTTATGTGCATCGTGTCATTATCCACAAGTGGCATTTTGTGTACTCAACAATCGGAGTACACACAAACAATATTGAAGGTATGTGGTCGAGGCTGGAAGAGTTTTTGCGACTTCATCATGCCTCCAGAAGCCGACAATTCTGTTACAATATGGATGATTTCCTTGACTGCATGCACTACATTTTTAGAACCTCTGAACTTCTTTCTAACCTTGACAAGTTTTTGAACCATGTATAAGAATTGTATCCACTTTATTTCTTTAGTTTTGTATAATATCTTTTCACTCTATATTGACTGTTTGCTGATTGGCTAACATTCCTCAAGCTCACTTAAGATTCGTTCAAAGGTCGTCCATAACTTATAGTCGATGCCGAATCTTGGTGGGAACAATAGTTTCCTAAATATTCCGGATAAACATAGCTGACAAACATCAACCAGCATAAAACCTAAATGCATGTTTTTCGAACTATTACATCCAACTATCTAACATATTAGTCAATTGACAAAGCAGAATTCAAAGTTCTCTAAAATAAGCGATTATAATTTGAGTATATTCTATAATTTTATTCAACTACTAGAAATAAGGTAATTACATCAAGAACAATATGTTTGTACATTTTGTACATATGAAACAGTTTCAGTCAAAAACACCCACTTTCATTGACTTGAATCACTATAGGTTTATGTTATTATGTCAAAGAAATAGTGAACTATGATTTTATATAGTTTGTACAATAAATGAGCAAATTCGACTGAAATTGTATTAATTTGTCTAAACACATAAACATGGTACAAGGAGGCACCATATAGGTACGTGCCACATAAATCATTCGATTTGTGTGAGGGCTAGGATACTACCAGGGTGGCAAAACTGAAGCAGGTTGTTTTTTAGGTGGCCACACCTCGAACCTTTGACCTAAAGGTCTAATTCTTAACGTAAGGAGCTGCAGTTCCATGGTAGCCAGTGACCAACGACTGATCCATACACCATTTGTTTTTTCAGGATACTGGAGTCAATGTGCACTATTGATTTGGAATCAGAGTTTTCCAATTTCTCTATTTTAAATCTCCATGTCCACCAACCCGGTTAAAGCGCCGGATTTTCGCATTCCGTTTTCTTTATATCGTAACAAAGAACCCCCCTACGCCACGAGAAGGCAATGAGTAGAACTTCCCTGTCAGTGGCTGTAGACGCGTGTCCATTTGAGAGCATTTCGAGAGGGAGAGCTGACTCCCCTCCTTATCAGTCGTACCACGACAATCGTAAGCAGTTATGATTGTCCATATCATCCAGTCATCAAACTGGTCGCCTTTCCTTCCTACTAGACGTAACTTTTTTATAATTTTGCCAAAAATAATATGAAAATAATTATACGCCCACAATTAATGAATATATATTACACTGGTTATGCATAACTTCAAACTCATTGTTTACTATAATTTCTATATAAATATTAACCAGTAATATAATATGATATAAACATACCACGATTAGGAAAAAATCTTCTATATACTCCTATGAAAGATTCTTTACTGGCAACACCTGAAGGACAAATCTGTAAAACAATGGAAAGTGAAAAACTCAAAAATAATTATTCTTCCATGTAAGAGTACATTTACAATATATAAACAAACTGTTTACAATCATTCACAGACTTAATGTGTTTATCAATAGGGCTATACATCATAAAAGGTCTTCTTCATGTCAATAATACTGTTTTCTACATATATATATATGACTTAAGTGGACACTTTTGTTTCCCATTTCCATATACTGAATTAACCATAAAGATTTTATTGTTTTCCTTTCAATTAAAATGAAATGAGTATGTTTATTGTTTTGTACTTAAATATTTTAAACTAAAAAAAATGATTTCAATGGTTGAGATCATGAGTCAGTTGAAGCTAAACCACCATGGAAAACCTGGAGGCACTGGACAACCGTTTCGTTCTATTATGCTTCCAGGTTTTCCATGGTGGTCTGGCTTCAACTGACTCATGATTTTAACCATTGAAATTACTATAATATTCACAAACCATCCAGCTCAGAGAACAAAACTCCACCAAAATCATCCATTTGAGCTACAAATCTTCTCCACCACCACCACCACAAAACCCCTTCTGATATTAAAAAGGATGTACTTTTGTGTAGTATTTTTATTTTAATAAATGATAAATAAACAGAAGATACTTTGTTCATGGTTTTATCTCAAACATTACATAAAGGATAAATCATACTGGTACTTGTGTAATGAATCAAAATACAAATGAGGACAATCGAATGTATTTGAATATAAAATTACAGAATCTCTTAGTAAAATCTGTGAACTATACAGTAAATAATTCATTTCCAAAATGTCATTTAATCGTCTAAGATTTGATTGTTCCTTCATTTCCACACTAATCATTCTTTGTTCTCATTCTCTTTTCTTTGATCTTCTTAACCTTCTGCTGCCAGGTATTCCACTTTCGATTGACGATATATACTACTTATATCGCACTTCTTCTCCAGAAAGTGCACTCGACAGATATTGTAGTACTAGCCGGAGACTTGAATGCTCAGGTCGGGCGTCTAGGCACAGAAGAGAGTCGTTTAGGTGGCCGATGGGGACTCGTTGGTCGCAGGTCAGATAACGGGGACCGTCTACTGCAACTTTGCACAGACCACAACCTGTTTCTGGCTAGCACTAACTTTCGGCACAGTCATCGCCGATGTGCCACCTGGCGTCCTCCCTCTGCATCCCAAGCCTGGACTCACATTGATCACATCGCGATCAGCTACCGCTGGCGTGGTTGTGTAAAAGACTGCCGCTCCTTTTGGAGTACCTATCTGGACTCTGACCATGCCTTGGTCTGCGCCAATCTTGCCTTACTTTTCAGTGGACAACGAAGTGACCACCACCAAAGGATTGATGTCAGCAAGTTGGTTGCAACTTCTGTTGCAAGTAAGTATCGAACCGAGCTAGCCTCTAGGCTGGCTACCACTCCACTGAAAAGTATAGATGAGCATTGGTTGCAATTGCTTGACGCCATGAAAATGGCGGGTACAGTCAGTTGTGGGTTTGCGAAACGTCCCGCTTTTAAGCACTGGGTTTCTTCTGGTTCCTTACAACTCATTGAAGCCCGTCGATCTACTCCGGGTGACCATGAGTTTGACCATAAACGAAGGATGTTACGTAGGGAAATTGGGCAAAGCTTGCGTAAGGACCGAGAAGCCTGGTGGTCGAAGCGTGCTAACGAGCTGGAAGCAGCAGCTGCATCTGGTAACTACCGGAAGCTCTTCCAGCTCATCCGAGCCACTGGCAGCAAGAAGTCTGGTGTGAGTGAAACAATCTGCGAGGATGATGGGATGCCAATCACTAACATCCATCGACGTCTTGGACGATGGGCAGAATTTTTCGAAGGGCAGTTCAACTGGCCTGCTGCTCCGGCAACATCGGTCAGACTGTCCTGCCCTCCATGGCCGGTGACGACTGATCCACCAAACGAGGAGGAAGTCCGCAAGGAACTCCAACTCTTGAAGCGTTACAAATCACCTGGCCCAGATGACTTACCTCCGGCTCTTTTTAAAGATGGTGGTGACTTTTTGACTAAGGAATTGACGACGTTGTTTACAAAGGTTTGGGAATTAGAAGTGTACCAACGTCATGGAATGAGTCGATAGTTGTCGCTATCTTTAAAAAGGGTTCACGTCGTTCCTGCAACAACTATCGGGGGATAAGTCTACTTCCGATTGCGTCCAAGCTATTGGCTTCCGTCATACTTCGTAGGTTGTTCAAAACCCGAGAAAGATTGACTCGCGAGGAGCAGGCTGGGTTTCGTTCTGGTCGAGGATGTATTGATCATATCTTCACCCTCCGCCAAATGTTAGAACATCGCCATACTTATCAAAGGCCAACAATCGTAGTGTTTCTTGACATCAGGGCTGCCTTCGATTCGTTGGACAGGACTGTTCTCTGGGATTGTCTATTGAAGAAGGGTGTGCCTGAGAAGTTTATTAACATCCTAAAAGCCCTATATAAAAACACCTCAGGCAGAGTGAGGGCATACAACCACCTCTCTCCATTGTTCCATTCGAGCAGTGGGGTTAGGCAGGGTTGCCCAATCTCACCATTCCTCTTCAACTTTGCCATCGATGACATTCTGGAAACAGCTCTGATGAACGTAAGTAATGGTGGTGTGTATCTGTTGCCTGGAGAAAGACTTCTCGACCTTGAGTATGCGGACGATATTGTCTTACTGTGCGATAATGCCCAAGGCATGCAATCCGCACTTAATCAGTTGGCAATCAGTGTCCGTAGGTATGGTATGTGCTTTGCACCTTCGAAGTGCAAAGTACTTCTACAAGACTGGCAGGATTCCGATCCTGTACTCACCCTGGATGGTGAGCAGATAGACGTAGTCGAGAAGTTCGTGTATCTGGGTAGCTGCATAAGTGCTGGTGGGGGTGTGAGTGATGAGATCAATGCACGTATAGTGAAAGCCAGAGTGGCTTATGCCAATCTGGGCCATCTTTGGCGCCTTCGTGATGTTAGTCTGGCTGTAAAAGGTCGGATCTACAACGCGTCGGTGAGAGCAGTTTTGCTCTATGCTTGTGAAACCTGGCCTCTCCGAGTCGAGGACGTTAGACGACTCTCTGTGTTCGATCATCGCTGTCTCCGAAGGATTGCTGATATTCAGTGGCAACACCATGTCAGTAATGCAGAGGTTCGGCATCGTGTGTTTGGGCACAGAGATGATAATTCAATTGGTGTCACCATCTTGAAACACCGACTTCGGTGGCTTGGACATGTTCTACGAATGTTGTCCCAGAGAATTCCACGTCGTGCATTATTTGCCGACTCTGGGACTGGTTGGAAAAAGCGGAGAGGTGGTCAGTGCATGACATGGTGTCGTGGTATGAAAGAAAGCTGCAAAGGACTGGCTTCTGTCGGTCCTTCACGACTCCCTGGTTGGGGTCTGAGAGATGGTGCTACACAGTGGCTAGAGACGTTATCAGATATGGCTCAGAATAGAAGCCAGTGGTGATCCTGCTGTAACCTTCTTTTACTTTCTTCATAAAAAGTGGTTGTGTCTCCCTTACTTGAAAGATTTCTTCTGATTGATCCTTTCTGTTCCATCGTTACGACCACACTACCTTTGTGGTCCTTAGTTTTTTTTTATCTTTTTTTTATCTCTATTCGAATTTTCATTGTTTTGTGTGGCGCATATATATTGACGCTCTCTTGTACCAATATTTATGTGTTCAAATAAATAATAATAAATAATAATACTACTTATATCTATCGATATTAGTAGCACATACACCACAATTGAATTGTTATGAATGAAGTAATTTTGCATTCTAATTGTATTCTAATTGTTTGGTTAGTTATTTGACTAAAGATGGTATAACCAATAAAGTAGTTCCCAAACAAATGCATAAAATCGATTTTGACGATGAAGAATAAAATCTCAAGTTTAAACATCTTTAATAATTAATCAAGCTTAACTTGTACATTCTGAATTATCGGTTGTTCAATTAAATCACAGTCTGTTTGTTTTAAAAATACTAGTAAATCTACCTATTCGATGTCAAAGAATTGTTAGGCAGTTTCACTGAAAGCGATGAAGAACCGTAGAATAGTAATTTCCAGTTCTCATTAATATGTATTTTGAGTGTTCTACATAATATCGATTGATTTTCTATTTACAATATCTAGTTTTCTGTATGTATACATATTCTTACTAAGATGATGCTGTAAATAGACCATAATAAAATCTGTAATAATATTATTTGATGATAATGATAAGTTGATGGTAGTATCCTATTATAACTCCGCCTGGAGTCCCTACGGGAGCTACTGCCGGTCCCGAGCCCGGATAAAGGAGGATGGTTGGGCATGGGGTTAGCGACTACATCCTGTAGAAAACTAACTCGCTAAAAAACGCTAATCAGAAAAAAATTATTCAAACCTTTTAAACTCTGCCCTGGAAGTCAGAAGGTCTTCATTTAGAAAAGTTATGATGCCTCATGAAAAAAAGCCGAGTTCCTTCAGAAGTCACGAGGCCGATGCCCCTTCTGACAACCAGAGCAACCATTTATTTAGATATATGGAATACTCTGGTCGGCGGCCTATGCTCCATTAGGAGTAACAGACGTAAGTAAGTAATTATCTTATTACATAATAATTCTTTTAGCTTTTTTTAGCGAGTTAGTTTTCTACGGGATAGGGTCTCTAACCCTATTCCCAATCATCCTCCTATATCCGGGTTGGGACTGGCAGTAACCCTAAAGGGGCTCCCACAGGAGTCTCCTGTTATATAAACAAAGTTGTAATCCTCAAGTGTTGGTAAAACATTCTTAACTTCAAGACTAAATTTTTGGGCTAATCATAATGGATCTGTATAAATCATGTAGGATGTCAGATAATTTGAAATGATCTGATCCATTTTATTTAATGGTTATTATCAAAGTGTATCTGGTTTTTCGAGAAGACAATCTATAAGAAACAATTATTCTTTCAAAGAAAAATCCTTTGGAAATTAGACAACTGTAATACTGCTTATTGTATAAATTTTATGCGGTTAGTTCCTTTTATAAATTTAGATAAAGCCAGAACAAACACCTCCCTCCTTCACTCATACATTCCCAGCCACTCAATTCTCTTAAAGTATGTGAACTCATCAAGTCTTTTTTGATTATCAGGCAACTTATTTTACCAGTTTTTAACCTTAGGAATCTTGTGCAAACCCTTCATTAACTCTAAAATCATTATCAACTTTATCTTATCTGCCTTTGAACTTCACTCAATTATTACATTATCCGACCCTCATGTTTCTAAATTCTAACACCAAATGACCTCCGACCTGTTCTTGAACACGCGTATATATATATATATATATAGTTATTATTGAAACCTTTGTCATTCCAATTCTTTACATTCTTTTATGTCAATGAGAAACCACGAAATATAATGTATTCATATTATTCTGCATCCATTTTCGTACCGGCTTTATTATATCAACTAAAACAATAAGCAAGTAGATCAACATTGTAGACGCATACAGAATACGATTAACCATGAGGTAAATTAAAGTATAAAAGGAAATAATAAACATCTAGTATTACAGTAGATGCAGACGTCAAGGAGCGAATCGGTAAGGCAAGAATAGCATATCTAAGAATGAAGAACATCTGAAACTCAAAACAACTGTCAGTCAAACAACACCAAGGTCATAATTTTCAATACAAATGTCAAGGCAGTTCTACTGTATGGGACAGAAATTCTGAGAACTACGAAAGCCATCATCCAGAAGATACAAGTGTTAATTAACAGTTGTCTACGAAAAATACTTCAGATCTGTTGGTCAGACACTATCAGCAACAAACTACTGTGGGAGTGAACAAACCAGATTGCAGTGTAGGAAAGTGCTGGAAATGGATAGTACATATATTGAGGAAAGCACTCTACTGTGCCACAGGGCACGCCCTCACTCGGAATCCGCAAGGTCAAAGAAAAAGAGGAGGACCAAAGAACACATTACGTCGAGAAATGGAGACAGACATGACAAGAATGAAGAAAAATCGGACAAATCTGGAAAGGAAGGCCGACGACAGAGTAGGTTGGAGAATGCTAGTCGACGGCCTATGTTCCATTGGAGTAGGATAACAGGCGTAACTAAGTAAGTAAGCAAGCAAAAAACGTAAAATGATCATTATAAAGTGAAAGTATTTATACTCACATGTTTAAATCCTTGATATAATAATTGTAATTCTTTTCGTGTAAAATTCGTCATCATTTCTAATTTATGTAATGAAATTGGTTTAGTTTGAAGATCTAAAGTTTTTAAATCGTACGATGTTAAATCTAATAGATCAAAAGAAATAAGAAAGGAAAAAGTTAAACAAACATTGGAAAGCTGCAAGTGAGTAATGTCGTTGTAGTTAATGACAAGTTCCTTAATGTCTGTTTGTTGAACTAGTTTAAAAGCAATTTTCAGTAATAAAGGCGTTATTTGTGTAAGAGTGTTTTGCTGATTATTCAGTTCATAATGAACAATATGAACCGATTCAAAATCAGACAACCCATAAAAATTAGAAAATATTAAAGAACTGTTTTGTTCTTGTATGGGATTCCACAATAGTCTGCATCCAAGACCTCTTTAGAAATTAATAAAGTATAATTTTAATAGTTGAGATCATGAGTCAGTTGAAGCCAGATCACTATGGAAAACTTGGAAACAATGGACGGCCGTTTCGTCCTAGTGTGGGACTCGTCATTACTGCATATCCACGATCCCGCCTCACGAGATTCGAATCCCCCAATACATGATTCATTCACTTCACATACATCCCTTCTTAGTACATCTTACTAATTTCTCCATTAAACATTTGATCGAATTGTAATTGCACTATTATTTCTTTCACCATATCTGATCCATATTTAATTTGATCATGGATCTTAAATTTCACTTAACATATATGCAGATTCATGTTAACATTCCATGTGAGTTATATTGACATTAACAATTTGATTATATTTTGCTTGACAATCCTACAGTTCATAAGCTTTGAACGATGTACTTCACCCGTAACCTGGCCAATTTTATGAATTATTAATTTGGATATATATATAATTGACTCATGATTTCAACTATTGAAATTATTAAAATCTCCACAAAACCGCTTCTAAAAATCATCATCTGCTCACTAGTGACTGGTTTCAAGAGGTATTTCCTGGAGTCCTAGTAAGAAACAGTGACCATCGGATTTCAACCAGGTCTGTTGTGAGATAGTAACTAGCTGATGACAATGGTGGATGTGTCGATCAATTTCGTGGATTAGTTGAAGTTAGACATTGATACCGTTGGATGCCGACCGGCTCAGTGGTCTAGATTTTAAGCACACGCGTGGCAGACTCATAGGTCCTTGATTCGTATCTCGTGAGGCGGGATTGTGGATGCACACTGCTGAAAAATCCCACAATAGGACGAAACGGCCGTCCAGTATTTCCAGGTTTTCCATGATGGTCTAGCTTCAACTAATTCACAATCTCAACTATATATATATATATATATATATATATATATATATAATTGTAGAATCTGAAGAGAATTTCTCGAAAAGAATATTCTTCGTTCTTAAAAAAAATCTTTATTTGATTAGTAAAATAAATTTAAATGATCAAACTAACCAAATAAATTTTTCTATTATCTTGTTTATCAACAAACATACTACTTATTAACACAAATTTATTTGACACATCTATTGTCTACATATTTAATTAAATGGCATGGGAAATCTTATGGGAAAATTATATTCCTAGGAAAAAAAGTATTAATCTAATGAAATTTGATAAATATCATAAATAGAATCATTTCAGTTTCATTCAATTGTAAGTTATGAAATGGTATTGTAATTAAATTTCACTTTCTCCTTATATATATATCTAATAAAATACAAAGTTATTTGAGATGATTCACAGATAGCACAACATGACTTAGTACAACGGAACAACATATGAATATTATGTGCGATCAATCAAAAAATCAGGTCTGAACAAATCAATGTCATTTCGTTTCGGTCAAGGTGACTAATAAGCGACATTTATGCCTGTGTGTGTGTACGTGTGTACGGTGTTGTTGTTCTTTTGTACTGTTTAAACTGGGATTAATGTTGATTTAGTTATTTATTCTCTGAAGAAGACACTTACACTGAGTTACGAAACATCAGAAAATCTAATTTTTCTACTCATTCGGATAATATATATAACAAACTACCTAGTGATCAACTTATTCGAAATTATCAAGTCAAACCTTGGTAATGATACTTGCTAACTTCATTTATTTGTAGAGATGTTTTTTCTAAAAAAATACTTTTGTTTTTTATTTTGAGGATTGCAAATGGTCAGTCTCTCTGTACATGGGTGTATCCTGAAATGATTGCTTTGATATTGCCACTTAATTACTAGTTTTTATCTAAGTTGGATAAAACAGGGGAACTGAGGATGGGTATTTTGTTCCGTCTAAAAGTTATCAGATGTATAGAGCTGTATACAATTGTTAATGTTAAAACTGAAACTTCAACTCAATACTTTTCACCTTTCAACGAAAAAAATGCAAAACCTTACAAGTAAATTAGGCGAGACTATAATTTATGGACGAACCAATCAGATTTAGGATGACAGGTTTCGGATCATGACGCAAAATTTATTCACCTAATTGTTTATATGGTGTCGTGGTATTTTAGCTGATGTCAGCTCATGATGAAAACCATAAATCTAATTCCTAAACATAACTATCAACTGTAAGTCATTACCCTTACTATTCATACTGCTTTATAATCATCATTTGGTCCTAGTAAGTAGGTGGACATTCCCAATGTCACGTTAGCATCGCTCAACGGTCGTCCATAAATTATAGTCTCACGGTAAAATAAAATTCCATATTGTTACACAAACTAATGGTCATGTGAACTCAATAGCTCATTAGGAAACTAGTTTAGCGTTCAGAGTGATAGATTAAGGTAAGAATTTTATTGTAAACAAAAACAGTGAAATGTAGGTACATCGAATTCACAGTGTCAAATAGGACAAAACTTTTGTCCTGGACTTCACTACTAGTTACTATTCAAATGTCATAAACGAAGTAATATTAAGTTCATTAAATGTAATTACAACCTAAAATGATTTCTTATTGATATAACAAATTATCAAATTTGTGTAGTTGAATATGAAGTGGTTTTGCTTCGTTAATCGATCACCTCGATAACTGTTATAATATAAATCTCAACAGTGTCTAAAATGAGAAGGCAATGAGAAGCAGCGTATAACATAAATCACAAATCTATAAGCACATCAAGCGAATTTGAATAGGAGAGATGAATATGTATATGCCAACAACTGGATAGGTACATTTATAGTCAAATTGCATAAGAGCGCAACAAGGCAAAACAAAGACTAATAATAAGATTTGAATGCATACATACATCAGGGAGAGGATGAAGGATCGAGTGATATTTAAGCGATCAACATTTTAACTAGAGTCTATCATGTGCTTTAGTGATCATAACGGTACAAAGAAATAGATGATTTGTTACTATTCAAATAACTATATCTGTTAAGTAAATTCATAAAAGGCCTTAACAAACATGTAACCATAATCGAAATTGGCTACAAGATAGTGTGACGACGGAACACCGGTGAACTCGAGGAAACTGTAAGAGGCTCAGAAGGAGCCGAAGACGTTCCATCCAATCCCCTTACGGAAGAATATTCTAGAATTCCTACGTGTAGCTTCCCGACTGGATAATGCTAATAGCCCCTTGTATGCGGATAGGAGGACTGTAGTGATGATTTCGTTCTCACTAAAAAGTATAAATACCTGATAATTTTGTACTATGATTGACACTGGTTGGAATAATATCCCTTTCATCAGTCTTCTGTCTTCTTATTGCGACTTGGAAGTGTTTTGGTGTTCTAGTGCTCTGTTATACGAGGTATATCAACAAATCAACTTTCAAGATATAACAGATAGTTGCTATCAATAGTCCCTAGTTTTCTTCTGTTTTCCTTTTTTTCAATATTAATTATATCATCGCAATGAATTTTATTCTAGAAATATAGTTTTCCCTATTTAATAATAATTTAGGCATATCCCAAATGAAGAAAAAAACGATATACTCCCTGACAACTATTGGTTTCAGTTGACCTAAATCAAAACGATTTTCTTTTTTCTTGTTAAATAACTACTGACATAAACTAACATTGACAATATGAACTATGATAATAAGTCAAATATAAAATAGAATTCATTATTCAATTGTTGATAATTCAACCAACAATACCAAAAAAAACTGATCAATACAACCTACTTGAAAGGTTTTTTGTTATAGAAAATATCAAAATAGTGTACGAAAGTTAGGAATAAATATATTGACTCATGATTTCAATCAGTGAATTTTCTAAAAAAATCTCCACAAAACCCATTCTGATAATAATAATAATCACCTGCTCACTAGTGACGCTATCCAAGAGGTATTTCCTGGAGTTATAGTGAGAGTTCAACTGGGTCTGTTGTGAGATAGTAACAAACTGATGGCAATGGTTGACGGTGACGCGATTTCGTGGATTGGTTGAAATTAGACATTAACACCTTTGGATACCGACTCAGTCATCTAGATTTTAAACGCACGCGCGACAGACTCATAGGTCCTTGATTTGAATATCGTGAGGTGGGATCTTGGATGCGCACTGCTGAGGAATCCCACAATAGGACGAAACGGCCGTCCAGTGATTCTAGGTTTTCCATGGTGATTTAGCTTCAAGTGACTCTTGATGTCAACCAGTGAAATAAATATATTATAAAACATAACGTTTCGCTATTAAAAGTGATATAGTATTACTGACGAACTATTTCTATATTAAATGGTTAATTAAAGAAAGTACTGAGTGTTAACATGTGAAACGGTCCGTCCGTCAGTCAGCCAGCTACAATGTAGGATCAGGCTCATTTGTGCATCGGTTCAAGTTGCCATACCTTATTAGCACAACAAGATCAACACAAAATTCATAGAAATAGTTAATTCAGTCATGTAAAATATAAAAGAAACATTGCATATACGGACATAGAACAGCAAAAAATAATTAGTTCGTAGAAAGAAAGAGTTGAAGCAATTTTAATCTCTTAGTTTAAGGGAAGACAGAGAGTGTATACACGGACGCTATTGTGATCGATTCTGAGTCATGTCGCACAGAGTCTCCAAACATTGGTTACAAAAGTCACGCGGACCCCAACTAAGTAGTCTGCATCTATCAACATGGCTTAGACTAGAAGTTAATGTCTTCAAGCACTGATGCCACGTTTTGGT